CAGCCAGCCTCAGGAAGCCCCTCCTGGCCCGCGGTGCCAGGAGCGAGCGCTGCTCCCGCTACGTCAGCAGGACGGGTTCAGCCGTGGTGGGAGGTGGCGGAGGTCGGCGGGGGGGGTCTCACCTGGCGTTGATGAGGTACTGCGCAAGGCTGATGTTTGCAGGGGTTCCTGTGATGGTAATTTGGCGCTCCGATGACCCTTCCGTGGCGTTGGCGATTTTGATCTGCGCTCCCGACATCTGCCGAATTTCATTGATTTTGGTCCCTTGGCGTCCGATTATGCAGCCTATTAGCTAGAAAAAAAGCACGGAGGGAACGTCTGAGAAGCGGCAGCTCTGGCAGTCACCGGCGGGACACGAGCACAACCGCGTGGCGCTGGCCAGAAGCCCTCCTCCCCTGCCCTGAGGCACGAGTGACCTTAATGCTCATGAAAAACAGGAGAGGGACAGCCGAGGGGTGAATCCCACCTATACGCGAGCACAGTCCTCCCAGGACATGTCCAGCAGCCTTCCCTGCTCCACTCCTCGGGTGGCAAATTTCAATTATCCGCACACACTGCCCGGCGTCTCAGGGGGCTTCAGGAAGAGCGAGCCGTTACACCAGGCTCATTTAAGTAATAATAATTCTCATGGTCTAATAATTGGTCCATGTTTTGCAAGGGTTTAAGGATGGGAATGAGTCATGTTTCAGTCTGTGCTCCACACCTGTCCCCTCACCAACCACAGCAAGCCTGAAGGTGCTCATACAGGACGTGTTACTAGAAGAAAACAAGCACACTACCTTCCCCAGGGACAGCCCAACCCCAAGTGCCCTCTTATCCGCCGGTGCAGCCACACACCACAGATAGCTTCACATTGCTGATCCCATCCCATCCTTCTTCTACCCTGCTGGGACACCCTCGCTGCCTTTTTTACCGCCTTCAGCTCTTTCGGTGCAAGGCAAGAGCTCACCAGCGTGCATGCCATTGACAAGAGAGCACCATGTGGCTGTAGTGCCAGCAGAAGAGGAGATTTCTGCTTAAAAATGTGTCTTTCAGCCTCTGGTGAAAAAATTAGAGCCAGTTGGAGCCTTGAATTTCCTCAACGGTCTTCATCTTTGCTCTTGCTCACTTGTGCATTAAACTATGGTTCCCCCAAGCACTTCCACAAGTTGGTGATGCTTATCGAGATGTCCAACTTCTCCAGCACAGGCATGAGAAGTTTCCGCATGCCCTGCTTGGCCATCAGCATTTGAGCTCTTTTCCAAGGTTGCACTTGGGAATTTTGTACATGGGACATTCATCTTGGCAGCTCCTGGACTTCTGTCACTGTCTGTAGAAGTGGAGACAACTATTACTCCACGAGTTCGCTGGTCCTGTTGACAGATCATGGGACTACCTTAGTGTCCCCTATGGACCTGAATATGTGCCCCACTGCAGTGCTGGAAGGGTATCAACTATCTCAGGGGCTGTTCAGCCCAACAGCCACCCATCCTGGTCTTCAAAGTGCAGAAGGAACTAAGAGGTGCTTCAGCAAATGAAAATCCCTTACAGCTGGGAACCTGCTGGGGAGACCTGAGGATCCAAATCTATTTAGAGAAATGTTCAGCAATATTGAAGCTGAACAGCATTCAAGTTCCTCCTGAGAGTCAGAGGAGTGACAAGATGGATTTAATCATCAGATTTCCTTGACCTCTCCTCTCTCTGCAGTGCAACGACAAGCTGATCTACACCACCAGCACACGCCTGTAGACTTTTTGCTTTAAGAAATTCAAATTTGTCCTCTGATTCCCAGGAAAGTGGCAATGGGAATTCAAGAGCCTTCAAAACAGCAGGAGGCAGAGCTAAGGAGGCATTTTTCAGCAGGCAGAAAGACACAGGTGATGACATTTAACGCCGTGCAAGTTCGACAAGAGACAGGCTTTTAGTGAGCGAATGCTCTGAGTGTTCCTGGGTCCTGTGGCAGGTCCTTCAGCATGTTAAAGGAGAGGAAAGGCCCCTTTGCAAGGGGTCACTTGATATTCCTGAAGATGCCCTCTTTGCTCATCCCTCACGCTTGACAGACGTGGCAGTCAAAACCTTGGCGCTGCTTGCAGAACTCCCCACGGCCTCCCAGCGCGGGCTCCTCACTGGATGGACAGAAGCAGACCTGGGATCAGCCCTGCCACCATCTCCCACGGCCTCCTCTGCAGAGGCCTCCCGTGGCAGCTGGCCTTGGGGTGAAGCATCTCTGAGGGTTTCAGCCACGAGATGCTCAGAAGCTGTTTAACTGCCGCTTCTCTCGGGTGGAAGGAGGCCTGGACATGCATCCCAGAGGGTGGAGGTGCCTGGCAGCTGCAGCCAGGCTCACTGCCCTTCCCCTGTGCCGCCGTGCGTTGGTGAACAGCAGGAAGAAGTGGCAACGGCTGCCAGACCCGATCCAGAAACTCCTGATGAGGATGGGCTGAAGGTGTTCTTAGGTGATGGGAATGGGGACAGATTGGAAGTCATCCCCCAGCTTTCCCTGATCCTGATTTGAGTGCAGGCTGGTTATCAATCCATGGAAACCAGTGGGGCAGTCCAGAAGCACGTGAGACCCTTGAATACAGGTGCCAGCTGTGTTGAGCCTTCCATCTCACCTTGTCCCACCTGAGCATCCCCAAGCAATCTGCTGGCACTGCTCAGTGCCCAGTGTGACTCCAGCCTCCTCCCAGTGAATATCCCAGTCCAACATCCACTTTACCACAATGCCTCCATCTATAAGACTCAGAAGCTGCTTGCCACCAGTACGAAGATGAGACGCATCGTCCTTCAGAAGCTTGTGTGGCACCTTGTGGCGTCAGAAACATTAAGTAATACCTCCTCTTCAACCACCCCCAGTAACTACACTTGAGCTGAAACATCATCTCAGATCTGTCAGTGCTACTTTAAGCAATTATGGTTTAATCAGGGCTGCCTTGGGAGCTCAGTCCCCTTCCCAGTGCTGTCAACTGGGCATTGTTTCATGAGCGCTGAGTTCACTTGGAAAGGAAAAACGGGCATTAAGAGGGTTCGTACCCAGGAAGCTACCAATGGGGTAAAGTCTAACAGATGCTTTACGCTGCAGGCTGATCCCCAACAGACTGCACATGGCATGGGTGAACCTGGTGAAGGGGCATCTCTAAATATATTTTAAAAAATCATATGCCTGCAGCTTATATATATATATATACACACACACACATATATATATGTGTATACACAGACACACATGCCGATGAAGCACTTGGGTTTACTTACATCATTGGGAATGGTGAGTTCATGAGTACTGGCCGGGGGACTGGCATCCAAACCTGGGCATATGCAAGGGAAAATGGTTATAGCTCGCCGAGGCAGCACGGTGGAGCTCCGTTGGTTTCCTGCAACAGTCAATACTGCAAAGGCTGTGTCCTGCTCCGGGGCCGGGAAGGGAAGGGGATCACACACTCTGGTACAAGGAGGAGAAAGATGGTTGCTACCTGGCTCTCCTGGGGCTGGGTGCCACCTTCTCCTGCATCCCTCAAGCTGGCCTCGCAGTTGCTGCCTCATGAGCTGCCTCACTTCCCACCCTCCATCCTCCCCCTGGGAACGGCTTCAGAGGAGGGTGCATCACAGCACAAGGTCGCGGCATCGCTGAGGAGGGTCTGACTGAGGTGGGAAAAGCACCTTCCCAGCTCCACGTGGCAGCAGACAGCCTGCTGGCTGGGAAAACCAACCCTGGAGGCAGAGGGTCTGCCAGCCGGAGGGTTGTCCACGCACTCTCCAGCCCTCTCTGGCATAGCAGAACAGAGCTGCTTGGTAACAATAGCAGCTTGGTGCCCCAAAACCAGTTTCCCCAGGGGATCCAGCAGTGCCAGCACAGGGCCACCTGCAAAGTACTCTGCAAGTTGGAGCCCCACAGACTTGCACGCTGAATTTAGGCCAGGCTGCTAAGACATGCACGCCAGATGGACCTGGGACTGGTGGTCCCTTCTACTCCCCAAGGGAAAGCACAGCAAACAGTACGTAGCCACTAGGCTACCCTGCGTGTGCAGCTCCAGAGGCAAGAGGACAGCATGCCGCAACGCTCCTAGGCCAGGCTGAAGCTTGCCTCTCCCACAGGTTTCCATATTAAATCACCTCAATGCCAAAGCAAGGATGTCCTATTGCAAACCTGCAAGAGAGCAGCTGTCTAGTGGCTAACAGGAATTTGCAGTAACCTCGAAAAAAAAACTTATCCATATGATACAAACTACTGAGGAAGGTTTTAAGAGCAATGCGTGCAAGAGTCCAAGACACTTGTGCAGAGTAAGGGAGCGCAGAGAAAAGGACACTGGCAGTGCTGGGCTGCTACAACACAAGACAGCAGCAGCACCCAATTTCTGGTCACCCAATCCAGCATGGCACTATCCTGCTGCCTTAACCACACTGAGCAACTCCCCCGAGCAATGGCCAAGTTTTGCCGGTCTGCATTTCCACCAAGGCCCTCTGCACTGTGGTCGAGGAGCTCCTGACCAGTTTTGCCAGCAGCAGCCACACAGGTTTTAAAACCCGGCAGGTCTGAAGTGATGTCTGCCTGGATACCAGCATCGTCAAAGCAAAATCTCTAAAATACTAAAATGAAGCCTTAGGTTGCAATCCCATTTGAGCATCACCCCTAGAAAGGAGAATATCAGGTATCCTCGACTCACCCTTGCATGATTCCCATGCTTTCCCACGGGCACCTCCCTTGCAGAGACACGATGCCTAGGTACATCGCCCAGGTGCCCGCTTGCAGGAGGTCTCTCTACCACGTTTTTGACTTGGGAGAAGACAGAAAGGCAGGGAATGGGGATGTAAATCCTCCACTCAGCAGCCCTACGTCCTCCTTCACCTCTGCTGGGTGCACTAATGCCAAAGCTTGCACAAAACGGCTCCTGCCCAGGTTTTACACAGTGGGTGATGCTTAACACTGACTTTATAGCACACTGCACTAGAAAGAGACATTTCACCAGCCCTGCACTGCCTTTCAGGCCAAGCGTCCTCGCAGTCTGGGGCAAGATGGACTGCACCTAACACGAAGACATGTCCTCCAGGGTGCAGGTGTCCCCGTTTCTTAGCCATGCATTACAAGGATCAGCTTAGTAGCAGCCTGAGTATGGCAGAAAATGTCTTCTGAAGGGAGCACAGCACTGGGAGTGGGCTCAGAGCAGCCCTGAAGCACCCAGCGGTCTTTGGAAATGCAGGCTGGGCTCCTCAGACTCAAAGATTGAGCCCCCACCCCACACTCAGATGCCATGGGTGCTGCTGGAAGCCCTTGGAGCATGCAGTGCCATGGCACGACACCACTCCTGCATCGCAATGGCCATCGAGGGATGGCCACGTCCTCTCCATCACCTGGAGATTGCTTATTTCAGCATACCAGATGGCCCCTCTCTGATAGGCACATGCAGTCCCCGTGGCTGTTACGGGAGGGGGTCAGGGCAGGACTGATTGCCTCGGGTGGTTGCAAAGGGCAAAGCAGGGCACAGAGAAAACAAGGCTGTGCAGGTTGGTGTCATGAAATCTATTTTTACTGTAGTCTTGAGGGGTCTGTTTGCTTGGGCTACGTTTGTTTCGTGGTTCGGTGATGTCCCCAGGCTCTTTCGAGGCACACGTGTGACGCACCATGGCTGGCCGCAGAGCACGCACGTGCCCTGGGTGTGCCCAGGGGAGGTCTGGCTCACACCGTCTGCGACCCATCAGGTCGCCGGATAACTCCTCTAAGCAATGGGAGGTTATAAAAGTTAAGCACATTCACCACATATGGATGAATGTGCGGGACAAGCGACATCAAGATTTCTCCAAGATTATGGCCATGATTTGGCTCCTCAGGGTCCTGTCCCACTAAAAATGCAGCTCACCCTGAATGGCTAAAACTGTGTCTTGTTTCTGTTCCCACAGGCATTTTTCTACTGTTTCTGAGCAAAGTTTATGCAAAATTAAATGAAAGAATAAGGGATGACTCTGATGTCTTTCCGTTACATGGATGGCAGTTATACACAAACATCATAAAACTAGGCAATAAACTCCAGGCACTTTTCTTTTGACATGCTGTACAAAGGAGAATGGCAGGCCCAGCGCTGCCTGGTCTCTCCCTGCCCACCAAGAAAACCTGCCATCTTCTCCACAAATACCACCGTTTATCTGGGAGCACAACAATGGCACAGTCCTATTTTAGACATATATTTCAACAGAAGCCTGCTTATTTCCCTGTAGCTTTGTGTTTTACCTGATGATTGGCCCATCAGATTTTGAGCTTCTTCGGAGGAATGTAAGGGCAGCTTTTCTCCTGAAGAGCAAAGAAGAAACAGGTTTAAGGCTTTTGCCTTCGAGGAGATAAGCAATGTCACTTCATCTAGGAAGCTCAAAATATGATGAACATACTGTCAGAAAAAGCATTTCCAACTGGCACTTTGACCACGGAGTAAACAAAGGTACTTTAAGTATCTCCATTTCCTGCGCTCTATCTGCGTCCCAGGTCACCATGAACATGCCAGCCTTGAGGACGAGGCTGCTGTGCCACGCCACAACTGGCTGTCCTCCCGTCAACACAGCTCCCTATGGCCATGGCTCCTTCCCATCGCTCTCCCCGTTGTGGAGGTGCCACCTTGCGTGGGTCAGCACCGCTCCCCGCAGACACCAGGGCAGCATCCCCAGCCGGCACTGAACCATTCCCCTCAGGAAAGCGGGGATGTCCCACCGGGGTCCAGATCAGCACACGGTGGAGGATGCTACCTCCTCTGGGACTGGCACTCATTGCTTCTGCTGGGAAGGCCAGCAAAGCTGGGAGCAAGGTTAAGCGTAGCTTTGCAGGAGCAGTCCAGGTGTGCATGGTTAACGGCTGAGAGCTCGCCCATGAGGACCGTGACCCCCAGACATCCATCCTGTCTCCCTGTTAGCTCCCTGTCCCTTTTCCCATGGACACTGTAACTTCAGTTTTACTTGCCCTGCTTGTTTCCATTAAATAACATGAGTTTAGAAAGAGAAAGAAACTACAGGTAAGAAGAGAAGGATATCTAGAAAGGGCGTGTGGGTACGTACCAGGGAAAGCGGGGGTGGTCTGTCCAAGGGGAGTAAAGGGGGTTTGCTGCATAGCCAACTGGTGGAGCTTGGTCAACTGCTGAGGGGTAGGAGGGACATTAGAGCTAAGAAGGTTATTGTCATAGAGTACAACAAGTCACACCGAAAATCAAGGACAAAATTATAATGGAAGAAAAAAAAAAAAAAGGAAAGAAAACAACAAAAAAAAAACAAACCAGGAAGCCATGGTGAGACATGGCAAAAACATTAGCAGAAGGACTTGGCCTGGGTAAAATGCAATAAAGCCCAAATCTTTTCCAGAAGTGCTTGGCCAGGGTCTGAAGTACAATACCAGCAAGAAGCCCATTATTAGTTTCCACCCCTCCTCAAACGGTTCAGCTCCTCCGCCACGAGCGAGCGGCCACCTCGGCGCGCAGCCGGCTGCTGCGGCAGCAGCAAGGTTGGTGCCCATGGTGCTTCCAGTTGCTGCCTTTCCCTCCTGGGCTTCACAACCTGCAACCAGAGGCTGCTGCTCGCTTCAGGATAGCTTTAGAGCAGAGGACCCACCTTGAAGGCACTGCCAGGCTGGTGGCCATCACACGCCAGCAGCCAGAAGACCCTCTTTGTACTGCTGGAGCTGTGTTGTGACCGCTTGTCCTCACAGCAAACGCCCTCATGCTGCGCCTCCGATGGGAAATGCCTCTGGGAGACGGACAAACTGTGGATCTTAACATCAGCTCATTAGGAGTGCAGGCCCCTGAGCAGTACGGGGAAATATGGGCTTCAGCCATGACCAGTAGGTATTTCAGATCCTTGTATCCCTTGTTGTGCCAGGTAGGTTTTCCTGCCCCATTAGGAAGCAGTTGCATAGAGGAGTTTGTTTGGAATACATTTTGTGCTCTGTTTTACTGCTTCAAATAAAAAAAAAAAACAACAATAAACCAAAAAACAAACAAAACAATAAACCAAAAGAAAACAAATCAAACTGGGCTGAAGCCTAGCAGTGAGCAGGAGGGAGCGTCTTTATCACCTCCCATTTGGTGATTTCAGAGGTGCTCAGAGGGTTGCCAGGATCACGCCATCCTCCAAACCCAAACTCCTTGTGGCAGGAGTTACAATTTCCACGTTTTGGGGGAAACAATACTCAAAAACCTCCTTGCTCCTGCAGTGTGGCTGGGGAGGGAGTTCGGGGAGGTCTGGCCGGCAGCGGTGAGGGGGAAGCACTGGAGAGAGCAGACCCAGAGGGCTCAGCACACCAGGGGAGAGACTGGAGGGAGGCAGCGGGGAGGGGAAACGCCTGCAAGTCCCCAAAGGGTTACTCGAGGGAGCCCTGCCCAGCTGAGGTGTCAGGATTTCCAGCCTCCTCCGGCTCAAGGAAGAGGTCTCACCACCCTGTGAGAAAAGGCACGCGTCTCTGTCCATGGCAGGGGGGTTGGAACTAGATGATCTTTAAGGTCCCTTCCAACCCAAACCCTTCTATGATTCTACACATATCTCGCCCTGCACAGCACGGAAAATAAGCTCCAGATACAACCGAGCAGCCACCGCTCCTGCAGGTAGCAGGGACATCAGCATCTGCTGCTTTTTAATTTCAGAACTATCCTGTTTTCTGCCAAATCAAACTCAGGTATGCCCTGTTTGCAGAGCTCCTCGTTACAACCAGTGCCATCGGTGGGACTCCAGATGAAACCTCCTGCCTCTTTGCCAGCACTTGCCAAGGAGCACTGGGGAGGCAGAGCCGCTCAGGCTCCAACTGTGCCCTGGGGTAGGGGTCTCGCTTCGCCTGATGGAGGAAACATCAAAATCCTGTCTAATACTGATCTGGAATATTTTTAAGACATAGTTTGGATAGCAGTATTTAGCAAAGACACGTAGGAACAGCAACGAAAAACACCTGTAAGAGGAGAGCGTGGCTACGCTGAGGCGTTACAGCAAAAGCTGCTACGTGAACGCATGCGGTGCATGAAACACCTCCTCTCCCGTCTCCTGGAAAAAGCTGGAAGCAAAAACCTGAGAGCATTTCTTCAACCTCTGGTTTTACCCACAGAGGAGTTCTCCCCGGCACTGCTGGGAGGGACAGGACAGGAGCACTGAGACCAACATACAGCCATGCCGAGCATCGCTGGGCACCCACAGCAACATCTCATCGGCTGCCAGCCCAGCACGTACCCAGGAGCAATGCCATGGTTTGGGAGATTTCCTGCATTTGACATTTATTTCGGTCCCAAATGCCTGCGACTCTGGGCTGCCATGGCCATCCCTTACCGCAACGTTCGGGAAAGCAGGTAGCTACGCGTTACTTCCTGAATGGCTTATGAGTACCTGGGCAACACTGAAGCCAAAACTCTCACTGCCCTGGGGGTTTTTCCCAGCAGGTAAAATCAAGGCAGCAGCTCATATTTTAGCTTTGGCATTTGAAATTCTGCCCACTCTGCAGCCATGGGTCTGCAAAAGGCATCCACTAAGCACGAACACTTGCGAGAGCAAGGGCAATGACCTAAAATGATGTTGAAGACTAGTTTCTGCACCGAGCAGTGTTTAAAACAACTGATACTTGCGAGAGAGCTAAGGAGTAAGGATGGAGTGTGTGGCCTCTGCGCAAACAACGTTTTCCAGGTCTCAGCAAATCTCCTGGGAGTAGGGCAGAGTGCAGCCAGCAAATATATTAAACGTATTTTACTCCTGTCAATCAGAGGAGTATAATAACAAGGAAAACACTAAACTGTTGCCACCGCTTGCAAAGGAAAACTGCAAGTGGCAAAGAATATATTCATCTACCCTTTGCTAAATACACAGGAGTGTTTATTTACATTCCACTTAAGGAGTTAAAGTGAGGCACATATCATTAAGAATATTTCCGAGCAACCATCACAGCAGGCTATTCAAAGTACATGCATACTGGTGACGCATGGAAAACCAAAGCCTGGCCTCCACTAAACAGGGTGAAATCACTGCTTCCAAGATCAAAATCCAGCCCGCAACTCCTAACCGTTCCCTCAGGGAGTGTGCATTCCTGGGATGGAACCACCTTGCCTTGTTCTCAGTCACCCAAAAAGTAACCCCGTGATTTAATACCCAATGCGCCCATCAGAAAGAGGAAGACCAAGCTGCATCATACTCTTCCCATGCATGGGATGGCTGGAGAAGGCTTTCCACCCAGACCACACCACTTAATTTTAAGCTGCATCCCCAGCCCCAACTGCAGACCCCTGACTCACAGGCGTGCCAGCAAGGAGAGGCCGCTGCAGAGCAACTTGCCGGCTGTTTTATCCCCTCTGAAACACATTTAGAAAATCCTACCTTTTTCCAAGAGCTCCCCAACACACGTCATCCATGACAACCCCAGAAGCCGAGCAACTGTCTGCTGCCAGCAAGGAGCCGCTGGCATTGCAGTGCTTCGCTGTTGCTTTTCATAGAGAAATCCTTTAAAATAGGCTTGTTTTCTATTTCTGTTGGTATTTCTATGCACAGACATGCCAGCAGTTGTTCCCTACGCATCCCCCCACAAATGCGCTGTGGCCCCCTGATCCACTCCAGGCACAGAAGCCCGGCACGAGCAGGGGGATCCAACCATCAGCAAAACCCGTCTGCGCTGCGAGAGCAAGATGAAGCGGGGACCGCGCCCGTGATGCCCGTTCTGGGTGACAGATGGCCAAACCCAGAAAGACAGTGGTCAAACCCAGGGAGATCACGCGGGTCTGGGGTCCAGCTCTTGCAGGGAGGCACAGGGCTATCAGCAAGGTGAGACCCAGCAGCGTGGAGGGTGGCCGTCCTCTCCATTCCTCTGGGGGACAGGGGTGGCATTTTGCCCAGCCTCAGCCTCTGCTTCTGAGTCACCCGCAGGAGGACCCTCCAAAAAGGCACGCCCACCTGCCCAGGCTTCAAGCAAGAAACCACACACCGCTGGAGCTCTGTCTTCTCCCCCTCCCATCAAGGCACTCAGCACCTAAATAAGTCCTTGGCTTCCCAATATTTTAAAAATACAGGGGGAAATAGAGGGGAAAGTAATTTTTTTTTTCCCTTTCTTTGAGTGTTTCAATCATTTTGAGGCACAAAATGCATACAGTATGGTTTGTCCCAGAACAAAGGGATAGCACTAACAATGCAAACAATTTAGTATCAGGCCAAGTCCTCAGAATTAAGAAAGTTTAGCGCTAACAGGTTAAAAGGCTATTCGAGGCATTATAGACACTACACATGCCAGTTACTTTGAAAATATGCTATTAATATTATTGTCTAATATTAATATTATGTGAATTAATAGTAGCATGCAGGTGACATAAAAGGTTATATAAGAAAAATTAGAGTAAAACTCACATCCGGGTGTGGAATCGCGTATTGTCCCTGAATTGTATAGGCCTGCAAAAGGAAAAAAAACAGGAGTTATTAGCGCTGGTAGGAGGCAGTGGCAAAGCCCCGTGCCTCCGCAGGGACTGCTGTCCCCCGGCTTTGCTCCTGTCTGCCTGATGTGGGGTAAATGCTGTGAATGCAGGAGCTAGAGAGTAGCCCCCCTGCTCCGCCTGGGAGCCCGTGCCACCCCCAAATAACAGAGCTCGGGAAGCTGAGCCCCGTGACTCCCCTTGCTCTGCTGTTGGTGAAAGTGGAGTGCAGGATGTTGAATTTTTACTTAACTGGCTTAATTTTGAGGCTAGGGGGGACAAAGTAAGCACTTTCTGTGCAACAAGGAGTTTCCCTGCACACCCGCCTGGCCAGCCCAGGGGAAGAGCCCTCCTGTGCTGCATTAAATTTGCCAGGGCAGCGAGTCCTTGGGGTGGGAGGGAGACATACCCCTCCAATCAAAGCTGAAGCATGCTGAGCTACCTAACTTGAAGAGCTTGGTCTCGGTTTGACTTTTCCAAAAAGAAGGAAACAGCTCTTTAACGGGGTCAGAATTGCACAGAGCAGGAAGACTCGGCTTCACCAAACCAGAATTTTCTGTGTAGCGGATGCGTGGTAACATCACCGCTGCCCTTTGCACGTAAACGTCTTCCTAGAAAGCAAGCCAGTGCAGTAAGTCCCTCCATATTTTCAGGTGCACGGCTCCCAATACGCTTTACATCTACCCAATATATTCCAGTGCTCTGCTGGGAGGGAATAGCATTGCCGTGCAGAAAGCCTGCCGGTGCTGACGTCCCACCAAGCACAGGGGGGGCTCAGGGACAGGCTGCCTTTCACCAGCAAATGTTGGACAAATGTCTACTGGGCGAATTGTTTAGTGTTTTTCCCATTGTTTTTAGTAATCCTTTCTCTTTTGTAAAAAACTTGAAGATAAGCACCGCTGTGGATAAAGAACCAGACACTAGAGAGCCCAGTATTTCGGACTTCACTAGCTAGCAAAACGTATCTCACTGGTTGACACATTGTTCAGATGATTCTGAAAGAAATGGCAAAAGAGATGGATAACACTTTAAAAAGGGAGAGTAAAGATAGCCAAGAAAAAGAAAAAAAAAAAAAACCAAACCCAAAAACAAACGCTCTGAACCTCCTGCAAATTTGCCGCATCGTTTGCAAACAGCAAAGTGCTTTGTGTGAGGAAAACCCTCAAAATCCTGGAGGAGGAAGGAGGCGAAGTCCCGGCACAGAACCAGCAGTCCCAGTGCCTGCCAGCATCCCAGCATGATGGGGACTGGCGTGACCATGAGGACGTGGCAGAGGCTGCTCTAAAAAGTTCCCTCTCTCCTGGTGGATTAATTTGGTCATTGTTTGTTTTTTTTAGAAAAAGCTAATCAAAGGCAAGAAGGTGTCTTGGACAGACGCAACCCAACTCTGACAGCGCTTGCCTTTGTGACCCCCAGCTTTGTGCAGAGGCTGACATGGTTGAGCTCCTGCGGGTTCAACCCACCCCAAGCACCTTGCGGCGTCTCAGATGGTCACCTGCTGTCCTCTGCCCACTCGCCTCGTGCCAAGAGCCACGGGGCTTGCCAGTGCTCCCTTGGGTTGCTGCTTCTTCTGTGCAAGACACCGACCGTTCCCCAGCAGGAGAAACGCTACCTCCATCTTACTCTCCCTTTTGAGAAGATAAGTTCACCAAGCAGTTGGACTCAAAGCTCTTTTCCAGGACAGCTGCTCAGACCAAACAACACGCTCCTTCTGATGCTGGCAATGACTAAGAGATGCTAATTCAGCACGCTGCCTGAAATAGCCTGTGCTTTGGGCTTTGCTCCTAGCCTTAGTTTGCCCTTCTGCTATTTATTACGGTTGAGGAGAAAATAAATAACTTGTGTGCTGCTGCTCTGGATGGCATTAGCTGTAGCTTTGTGGTGCTGGCTCTACCCAGGTGCTGGAGCTCCTGGGAAAGTACCTCTCCTGCTAGATACCGGTGCACCACAACGTGATGGCATCTACAGGCTGATCCTCGGTCACCCGGTGAGGTGCGTAGATGAGGTGGAAAAAGCAAAGGTTCAAATCCGCTCTTTAGAAACAGCTGCCTGCTCAACTGCTCTTGTTTCATAAACCACATGCTATGGGAGCTGATTTTTGGTTGCAGAATAACTGCCAGCTCCAGTGGCACGTGCGTGTCACAGTTATCCTGCAAAGACAAAATCCACCATCGCTTCCGAAGGGTTGCTGGAAATACCACGGCATGATTGCAAACCTGCAGATTGAGCACTGCGCAACGTCACTGAAGGCAACACAATGCAGGCTCTCCTGCGGGCAGAGCTGAGACCCAGCTTTGCAGAATTTTTGGGGGAAGCAGCATCCCAAACAAGCTGAACACTACTGACAAGGATGACATTTTCATGGAGGCTGCCCTGAACAGAGGATCAGCACGGTCCTGGAGTGGCTGGGATGAGCCCTTTCTATCTCGGCTCAATTACAACTATGTAAAGTTATTTTTAATTGGACTAGAGATGCCATAAAATAAACACTTGCAGCCACTGTGAGAGTATGGTCATGGCCTCTTGTTCAACGAGGCTTTTCTCATTTTCGCCTTCACATTGGGAACTGTTGGCAAACACTGAATTTGGGCTTGGAACAGGTTGCCCAGAGAAGCTGTGGCT